AAAGCTCGTGGCCAGAGCTGGGAGGGATCCAGTGGTCATGGTCCATGTTGGGACAAATGACAAAGTAAGAGTAGGTTTAATGTTCTGCAAGACAAATTTGTGGAATTAGCAGAAAAGTTTAGGGGCAGATCCTCCACAGTACTGTTCTCTGCGATTCTAACTGTACCATATGCAAGCAGAGGGAAGCAGAATTTTATCTGGATGTTTAACACGAGGCTACGAACTTGGTGTAGGAAGGAATGGTACAGGTTTATGGGGCATAGGAACTTCTTTTGGGACAGGGGTGGCCTGTGCAAGCCTGACGGGCAACACCTGAACCGGAAGAGTTCCTTTGCATTGGGCCAGTGCAGTGCATGCCACGAGACAGGTGCGATCGCGCCGGCCCCCATAAACGCCCGTCAAGCTGTCCTCACGGGTGCGATTTTACCGTTAATCACTTCACGGGCACGCCACTATTTATTCCAAGCCTTAGCCCATTTGACCTACCCCGGTAGACCATGACGATGATGACAATGTCATAATTAAAACTAGCAAACGCAACATTCTCTCAGATCAAGGTAACCAGTGCCAGCTGTGAGGAAGCGAACTCATATTCAGTTTGGCTTATCAGACCCATCATCATAGCCGTAACTAGCAATCTCGGACCTCGGTAAAAAATTGAGAGAGAGTGAAAAAAAAATTCAACGTCTTTATCATTCAAGTTTTGTTCTAGGTATCTTAAGTGTAACCCGTGTGAACTTGCGATGTTACATTTCACCAAAAATCAATTTCTGTTTGCACATTATTATTCTTTTCCTCTTATCTATGCATTTATTGTATTCAGCTCTGCATTGGAGAGGTAAGATGAAATAAGTGCTCTTCAGTGGTTTTGTAAAACGCAGTAAAATGCTAAACGAAAAGATTTTGTTCATTATTGCTTTGATGATCACTTTGGAGTTTATACATTTTTATTTTATCGTGTACGGCACTTTTGTGAAGCATGCTAATTTACCTATCGTAACCCCAGGCTAGCATTAGGAGCATTAGGTGGTTTCTTGTGCGGTTCACCGTTTCTTCCATCTCTAGTTTAAAGGTGTGCTTGTAGAAACGTGACATGCAAAGTTGCTGTACTGACATTAATGCATTGCACGTAGGTATGTGAGCTCCCCGTTTGAAAATTACCTCCTGCCATCTAAGGTAAAAGGAGGTTATGTTTTCAGTCCCATTAACTGGAAAATATTATGACATGCTTTATACTCAGTTAGTATTAAGCTCTGCTGTGGATAGCTGTCGATGTAGAAACGTGACATGCAAAGTTGCTCTACTGATATTAATGCATTGCACGCAGAATAAAAATCTGTTGGCTGGCAAGAGAGGAGTGGTCTTGCCTTATTATTCATTACATGCAACACAACGCTGAACTATAAGACCGGCTATATAAGGATATCAAATCGTGTATCTCTTATAAAGAATGACATTACTTTTCAAATTTAGTATGTTATTAATCTGTTTTTCGGTATGTACAAAGTTTTATTACCATTAAAAAAAATTCTGAGGTCTCTTGACCTCTCATCTCAATATATCTGAACAAAATGGTTTTCTAGAGCCCTCTCTTAACATTATGGTTATTTTAAACTTACTACATTTTGGGACTGTGTGAGAATGGATGAATATTGGCTTGGAAGCAGTAGTTAAAGCAATTCTGCCTTTTTAAGCTTGGTACTTGTACTGGTAACCATGGTAACTCATACAGTTGTGAGGTTATCAAAATAAAATACATGTATGGACAATAGGCTATACTCTTTGCAACATGAAGGCAGTTTACAAGCCAAGGACTGGACAGGACACCAGGGTAGGTGAAGAATGGAGTAGGTGGTTTAGTGGTAGCAGATACCAGTGTTTCCCACACATAGACCATTGTGTGGCGGGCCGCCGCAGAATCAACTCGGACTGCCAGAAATTGATTTTCACCTCAACAGGTTTTTCTATATCGCATTGTCATCTCCGTGCGCGCAGAAAAAAAAAAAAAAAAACGGTAAAATTAAAAATACTGGAAGATGCTGAATTTGCACAATATTAGTGCCATGCCCATCGCTCAACAAAATAAAAAGCATCTACCACCCACCACAGCAACGATCACCATCAAAATAGTGCCCGCCGGAGAATTGGCGGGAGTGATTGTTAGTGCCCGCGCAGTTTTCTCCTGGCATGCACTGCCAGTGTATGTTTAGGGTAGCACAGCCTTATTTAAACTAGGGATTTGGACAGGGCTACGCACACTAGTGCTGATATCTTTTTAAAGCAAAAACACAGATCTAGGGGCTTCCAGCAGCAGGCAGCTGGGGAACAGGAGGGAAGGTGCACGCATAATAGTCTTAAATGTTTTTATTTAAATGCTAGAAGCATAAACAAATAAATTCTCAGAACTTGAGGCTGTTATGATTAGTGGGGGCTACGACATTGTTGGGATTACAGAGACATAGCTTGAGGAAGAGGATGTGGATGAATATAAAATAGAAGGTTAAAAGCTCCTGAGAAAGGAGAAGTCCAATGGGGGGGGTGTAGCACTTTATGTGAATGAAGACCTTAATGTGCAGGAAATTCCTGAAATCGAAAATCTCTTGCCCTGTGAAGATATTTGGGTCAGGCTCATAGGCAAACACGAGACAGGTCTAAATATAGGAGAGTGCTCTCGGCCAAGCTTTGTAATTACAATGCCCTTTAGAAGGTTAGACAAGCATGTAGAGGAGAGACTATTATTATGGGAGACTTCAGTTATTCTGCTATTGATTGGGAAATGGTAAAAGGACAGGGTAAATGTGAGGTAGAATTTCTAGATGTAATAAATGGCAATTTTTGGTGCAGTATGTTAATTAACCAAAAAGAAGGAGAGCAATTTTAGATTTGGTGTTCTGTAATGACCCTGATTTAATGTGCAATGTAGAGGTAATGGAGCCACTTGGGACTAGTGATCATTTTACTGTTAGTTTTGATGTTTCATTATAAGTTAAAAAGTTTGAAAACCAAAATTTTCCATTTTAGGCAAGCAAACTTTAACAGGATGCGCTCATATCTATGTGAAATAAATTGGAGGACACTCCTTGATTGTAAGTCTGTAAAATAAATGTGGGGTAGATTCAAGGGAGTTCTACTTGATACACAATGCTAACTCATTCCAAAGGTTTGCAAAAGTAAGTTTAAAAAGCAGAATCTTCAGTGGATGACTACAGCTATTAGGAAGAGTTTGAGGAAAAAGATTCTTTGAGTATAAGCGTAGCACTTTAAGTTTACGCCCCACAAGCATAACCATCGTCAGCTGAAGAAAAAGCTGTTTGCTTGGGAGCCGAAATCAGTCCTGCGAGTGTAATATACAGTGAATGCGGACCTGATTAGGGCCATCGTACAGGACAATGGCGGAAAAGAACATTTTCAGAGCTGCACATGTGCAGAGTGATAAACCCAATTGCAACAGCTTTAAAGGGCTATGCTTATTATCATAGAATCTGGGGTTATGATATGTAACCAACGTTTTTGCCCTAACTTTACCTGTGAAATGTAATGGGAACTGGTGCCAACTACAGGGTGGCATTGGGGCGATTGCCCCCTCAATGCTGCGATGGGGTGGGGTGTGGTTACACATGATGACTGAAGAAGTCATGTTAAAAACTTGTAATTGACTAAACATTCTCAGATTTTGGAGCCAAACTTGTCCCACATGAACCCATGACTTCTAATAACATTTATTTTGACTCTAAAATTACGCCATCTGCCCATCCAACTTTATTTAGTATTCAACGATCAAAATCATGTGTCACATACCACATTGGAGACCTTGCATAATTGTTGGGCTGACATTGCGGTGCAAAAAATTTGACATTGACATTGAATAGTTTGTATCATAATTTTGAGTGTATATATCATTTGTAACTCAAGAATAACTAGGCTAAAATATCTAAGATTATTTGAAAATAGTTTTGAGTCATTATAAAGCTCATTTTTTTTGTATATAGAAAAAATTTCAACCTTCATAGTTCAATAACAGTTTTCATTTGTTGCAAATGAGGAAATGTTTTAATGTCTAAGATTGAAAGGGCTGTAGTCCTTAAATATTTTCTTAACCCCTTAAGCCCTACGCCCCAGTACCGGGGGGTGGTGGTGACACATAACAAATACAGCATGTTGCCAAATCGCAACATTGTCATGTGGCATATCCACATTACGCGAAGAAGCTCAGCAAAAAGCTCATGTAGACCATTTTTACCTCAACCGAACACAATTCAAGCACCAACCAAGTAAATAAGCATGTAGCAAAACATAGGATAAAATCATATCAGCGCTGAATAGCTAGAATTTCTCCTGAATTTGTGCTAAGCATACAAACAATACCTCAAATGAAAGAGGAAAGTCCACAGAATCCAACGATATGAGCCCTGTAATTTTAAACCAACACCACACTCAAAGAACAGCAGGCATACACTTTACAGTCTACACAGATGAGCAAAGAAATTTTTTACCTTTGATATTTTGTAATAAAAAAAACTGTTTGAGGGTAAATCCCCACTTGCTATTGTTAGCGCAATGTGTCCGTGTTATAACGAAACTAGATCTGCGAGTCTCAAAGCATGTTTTTCTTCTCGAGCATTGCTTCAAAGATCTCAGTTCCTCAGCATTCAGCTTGCTTGCAATGTATTTTCCTCTCTGTGATCGGCTTTTGATGCTGTCAGTAAGACTTTGCCGGTAGCCGTTTGATTTTATGGCTTCTGACGTTTCCAACGAGCCCTAAAGCACCTTTATCGCACAAAGCTAGCCTGAGCTAGAGCCTTGCATTCCCAGTGCATCAAACCGAGTCCATGGGCCATTCGAATGTACTTAAATAGCGCTAAATATTCAACCGTCGTTTTCAAAGTCGTTTTCTGACAGAAACGCGTGAATACTGAGGGCACAATAGTTCAAACAAGGTGAGTGACTTGTTTTTTTGACTCATTCTTTACATCGGCAATTTGAGAGCTGCATTGCTGTTAAATGGTATAGCCTAGTGGTCAGGGTGCAAGACTGCAACTCAAACGACCAGGGTTCGAGATCCTGGGTAGGTGTGTTTTAGTAAGACAATAGTAGCATATTGCTTGTATAAATAATTGCTGGGGTTTTTATTCTTTTGACTTTTTTTCCCCATTTTTTAAAACCCTTTTTGTATTCATAATCTTATTAATTTGCTTGTTTTAAATAAATCTGCTCCAGTGGAGCCAAACTTCATTTTCTTTCTATTTATTGTCTTTGAATGGGAAATTGTATAGGCTATAGGACTGGCAGAAATAATAATTTTTAAAAATTGTAAATTCTAAAAATTAAAAACTGTTGTATTTGGGTGGAATGTATGCCCGTAGTGACATATGAGTGAAATTAGATGAGTTTTACAGTTTAATATCTGAGAAATCTGATTTGGCACACAAGGTACCTGAAATGCCAATTTCGAGAAGCCAGCTAGACATTCCTCTCTAATTTTGTTCTGATTTACTTGATTAGAATAAACTTTGGCACAGATAATGGTGCCCAGATTGGAGATTCTGAGCTGTAAATTTTTAGAGGTTTCAGACTGCAACTAATTAAGTTTACAAGGGATATAAGTAAAACTTTGTTGGGTGCAAAATGAGGTCTTTGATTTATACTGTGTTCCCTCTTCATTTACTCTGACTCAGTGACATACATTTTTACACCATGGCAGAAATCCCAAATTGTTTTACCTTTATTATGATACCAAGATTATTCAAATGGACCAAATAGTTGCAGAGATATGCTCATTTCATTTTGGGCTTGCCATTTTTGAAAAAGAGGCTCAGGGCTTAAGGGGTTCATCACGGTGATTTATCAACAAAATGTTCCTTGTTATTAGGCAAATGACTTTTCCGTATATTTCAAGACTTGATATTGCCTAAATAAAGAGATACAGAGTTAATTGTTAACCATACATAATTCATCTTGTTTCTTTATCAAGCTCATGGGATTTCGGTGTAGTACCATAGCATTACCCCTGCGACTTAAAGGGTTTACATTTTTTTGCTTCTAGTTCCCTCTGAACAGAATGTCCAGGGCTGGAGTCAGAGATGCGCAAATACAATATGATAGTAAATAGTAGGGATTTTCCTCTTGCTGCAATAGAGATAAACAGTAGTCATCTCTGTTCTTAGAAGACAGGGATTCACTTTTTTACGATGGCATAGAGGGCTAAGCCCTGGATGTCTCTAAGGTCTAGCAACAGAGTTCCCTATTTTGCCGCAGTAAAATAGGGTATTCTGTGGGCCTACAGTCGCAGATGTTGTACCTGTTGGTTTAAAGACCTAAACGTTATTATAAGCTTGTAATTGCAGCTTGAATGCTTTTTTTTTCCTGTACCATAACTGTTTATAGTAAAGGTTGTCTCAATTTCTGTGTGTCAGTTCACCCCAAGTGTGTGTGTGTGTGTGGGACGTAATATTCTTAGAATGCTTTTTCCTGTTGACAAAGTATTCTTTTTTTTTCTGTCAAATTATGATGGGGGCTCACCAAAGAGTAGCTTAGGGGTCCATAACCACCTTAATCTGCCACTGGTCTGAGGGACTGGTCTAAGGTCTGTAGCCATGGTGTCTCGGCAAGGGAAACACTCAGAGAGAGACAAAGAGTCACATGGGACTCCTACCACTCCTCCCACTCAGCCCTACCATCTGTTTTGCATGTTCACGCAAAGACATAGGGTGGCCTGATTCTTGCTGTAATAGAGGAGAAGGGCGGAGTGCTGGGGCTATATACTGTAGCTCTCCAAATGGATGTTTTTCAGAGGCAAATTCCAAACAGAGGGGTAGGAGAAATCTCCCAGAATGCTGTGCAAATCTTTGGCAAGATGGCAGCGAACATTTTGGAAGCAACAAAAGAAAACCACAAATAGAAGTATTTTCTTTGTAAATAAATTATAATAAACATTGGATCATATCAGTGTAATTTAATGTTCCAATCTATTTAAAGGCAAAGAAAACCCTTTTTTCAGCTCTTACCCAATAGAAGTACACTGCCCCTACTATTCAAATATATTCTCGGATAATTTTTGATAATTACCTTCGAACATCCTTTGCTAGCCTAATGTCTGTATGTACTGTAGACACTGCTGCGAACTAATATTATCACTGTCCCAACATTTAACTAGACCTCAATCCTCTGCCTTTCGTTAAAGGTGGCAGGAAGATTGAAATAATGAATGTGTGGTTGGGAAAATGAGCAAAATTTTATCTCTGCTGGTAATCGGACTGATTTTGTTGCTATGTACACTCTACGAATTAAACCAACGTTTTCACTTAGGAGGCATGCCCAGTTTGTAGAATCGATGTTTTCTTCCACTCGATACATAATACCTGTGACCTTGTGACGTAGTTTTGACAGTAATGTCAAGGTTGTCAGATTCATATTCATAATGAAGAAAACAAACCCATAAAAATGCAATCCTTATTCGATATTTGGTAAACTTGTAACTTTATGAGTTGTATTCTCACAGAGAAAATACACTCTACAAATTCTATGTATAATTTGACTTAATTGCATTAATATAAGACAAAAAAGGAGGCTTTTAGCGTCTTTATTTGACACCAATATAAAACAAACCCTACCCCTTAACCCGAACCCTTACCCTAAACATCAAATAAGGACGCTGAAACCCTCCTTTTTTGTTGTACACTGACGCCTGGTCAGGTAGCGCCATGAGTTGGGATGAGAATGTGATGAACATTTCGATGGACTACATTATGTCCAACAACAATCTACTCAAAAGGGGGCTTTTTATTCTGATATTGGTGTAGTACCTTGCATCAATGGGTGCCCAGCCCTAACTGGCTTATAAGGCAGACTATCAATTTCCAAGTCCATGCAGTCATGAGAAAAAGAAAGTACACCCTCTTTCAGTTCTAAAGTTTTACATATCATGACATTAAAAAAATCAGCTGGTTCCTATCAGGTCCTAAAATTAGGTACATCTAACCTCAGGTGTCAAAAACAACACACAACAGACTCCACTGTGACATTTTTTTATTAAGCCAAAATTTAGCTGAAATCCAGAAGTCCTCTGTGAAAAACTAGGTAAACCCCATAATTCATTAGCTTGTAGAACCATTTTTAGCAGTAATAACTTGAACTTATCATTTTCTATGTGATTTTATCAGTCTCTCAAATCATAATGGAGGAATTTTGGCCCACTCTTCTTTACAGCATAGCTTTCGATCATTGATGTTTGACCGCATTTGTTTATGCACAGCTCTCTTAAGGTCCCGCCACAGCACTTCAATCAGGTTGAGGTCTGAATTTCACTTGGTCATTGCAACACCTTGATTTTTTTCTTTTTCAGCCACTTTGTTGTAGATTTGCTGGTGTGCTTGGGATCATTGTCCTCGTGCATGACTCAACTGCAGCCAAGCTTTAGCTGTCACACAGATGGTTTCACATTTGACTCCAGATTACTTTGTTACACAAAGGAGTTCATTGTCGACTTGATGACTGCAAGGTGTCCAGGTCCTGTGATTGCAAAATAAGCCCAAATCATCACCCCTCCACCACCATGCTTGTCAGTTGGTATGAGGTGTTTGTGTTGATATGCAGGGTTTGGATTGCGCCAAACATGGCGCTGTGCATTATGGCTAAACATCCCCACTTTGGTCTTGCCTGTCCAAAGGACTAGACTAAACTTTTTTTCCACCGTTACCCAGTGAAATGTTGCAAGCTTGCTTGATGTTTTGATCAATTATATGACTGCTAGGCCTGCATGCTTTTGTAGTGCTGCAAGCACATATGCTTTTATTTTCGGTAGCCTTCTCAACTGTGCGCATGTGGATCGCCCAAGACAACGGCCACGTAGTGAGTGGTGTAAACAAACGGAATCGAAACAAAACAGATATCATTCACGCTCAAAACAAGATGTACACATGCAGTTGAACAAATTGGATATGGGCCTCAAAATCCGATCCATATCCGATCTGGGCAACAAGACCTGCAGTGTAAATCCAGCCTCTGAGTGCTGGGAAACACGCAGCACTACAATCAAAGGTTCTAGGTTTTATATTTATAGATATTTACACGCGATATGCAATAAAATACCTTATAGGCAAAAGCTACAGAACAGCACAAGCATATGGCTTACACAACATTACAAAGGAAAAGTGCTAGGCTGTGGCGTTTTATAGCGGCAGTGAGACACAGATGATTAGAGTTGACCGATGAGTGGAATGTGATCTGGGTCAAAATTGGCTGGCTGCTGGACCGCAGAAGGCGAGACCTGACCATCATATATAGAGAGCCAGCAAAATATCCATCATGGTTTGTGGATGTTTTATTGTATGCATGTGTTGGTGATATACGTGTTTAAGGCATATTTTGTCAAACGTTTGATTAATGTTTTTATTATTCATGTCATTATTTTTATTACTTAAACGGAACTCTTCAGTAGAATATATTAATCATCAACCATTTATTGAATATTAATTTTGTACAGATGACTAAGTGTTTTTATAATATTGGTTTCTTCATCCAGACATGAAGCTGAAAGAAAGGACTCACTGGATTAAATGCAATAGGCATTTGATATGCACCAATAGATATGATGCAGCATTTGTGTGTGACGTCATGGAGGGGGTGGGGGGATGCGGCGGCTTGTGGGCATTTTTGGGTGTCTCCCTCGTTATCCTGTTTATTTAATTTCTTTTTTTGTTGTTGCCCATTTGTCTCCAATTGACTTTAATTTCTGTGATGTTTTATTTTATCTTTATTTCAGTTATTGGTTAGGCTATTGAGTTATTTGATTTCATCTCCATGTGTTGGTGTATTCAGGGCGGGGATACACCTACAAAAAGGGAGCAAGAAGGAAACAAGAGATCTGTTAAATGGCTACTGTTGGGACGGTTGAGCATTAAATTTTGTTAGGCTGTTTGGCGTGGCCAATGCTTTTGTTTTGTAATTTTCTTGCATAAGAATAAATGTAAATTTTTTTTCTTCTCACTGTAAACATTTCTCACTGCCACTCTTCCCCATTTTTGAGACACCTTTAAATAAACCAGCATTTTATCACCACCAATATTCTGGATTT